ACAGAACCATATGCTCCCCTACCTATAAGATGATTCATATTAAATCTATAATGGCCAATCAATTTATCCATTGATATTTAAATAAATTTTATATTATATTCTCTTTTTATTTAGTAATCATGGATCCAAGACTATATCTATTTTTTCCTTTTATGAAAAAATAATATTTAACTTGTTTTCTCTTTATTTAAAATGAAATAATTTTGACATAATCATTTACTAGAATGTTTATTATTGATTTAAGAAATCCAAAAAGTTTTCTAAATTTGAAAGGTATAATTTGTAAAAATGTATTCAACAAGAATTTATTTTGAAAAAAATATACTAATTATAATATTATGTAATCGTTTTCAACTTAAGTTGAATTTTAAGAAGACTTTGATTTTAAAAATTCTGTATTGCTTGGTTAAGGAACATTTGGTAAGGTTTTTAAAGCAAAGGCTTTAAAGTCCTTACCATTAGGGTATTATGCTTTGAAAATAATTGAAACATAAAGGTACATAATTTTATAGCTTAGTGAATAGGCTTTTGAGTTGGCAATTTAAGAGTTAAATTTGTATTCAGCAATAACACACCATTAAAACGTTATTTAAGTTTACAAAGTTTATTCTTGGAAGGATGAAATGCCTTTTAGAAAATTTGTATTAGTTTTTGCAATGGAATTAGCCATAAATAGCCTTAAATAAGACATTGACGATAGAAGGAAAATTTCAAAAGAATATGGAGGTTAATACTTATTAAATAATAGACATGTTAATAATAGATATTATGAATCAATGTTTAAAAGCTTTTTATCATTTAGCAAAAAATAAACATTTATTCCATAGAGATGTTAAACCAGAGAATATATTGGTTACAAATATATCACCATTTACTGTTAAATTAGCAGACTTTGGGGCTGGGAAAGAAAATCTTAATGGATAAGCAATGTTGAATACTTTAGTAGGAACACCTTTATTTTTGTCACCTAAGTTATATGTTGCCTATTCATTGAATTAACCTGGAAAAGTGAAGTATAATATGTTCTATTATAGACATGATTTAGAAAAGAGCGACGTTTTTTCTTTAGGTATAACCTTTTTATAAATGATTCTATTACTAAATGATAGAGATTTATCAAAATTAAATGATCCTATTATTTATGACGATAAAACTGGAGATTCTATTGATACAAGTGAAGAATTTGCATTGAGAAAAGATTGTTAAGGATGGAAAAAATTATAAAATCACATAAATAATATTAAAAATCCTTCGATTAAAGCATGCATTTATGGAATGACAGAGTTTAGTGAAAGGAATCGATTTACTTGGTTTTAAGCTTTAACAACCTTAGATCCAGATTTCAAGGATGAGTATATTAAAAAAATAAATTTAGTGAGAAAATTTAGATCCAGAAACCAATTTAATTAAATGAATAAAAAAAACAATAGGTTATTTAATCATATTCTAATGAAAATACTACACTCAAATATTTAGGAACTTTGAATGATGAATTTTATCATAATAAAATCATATCTGCTGGAAATTAAATACTTTCATACTCATCTGAAGGTGTTAGGCTTATTTCAATAGGAGGAACTGTAGAATGGATATTTAATTAACGTATTCTATTATTAAATTTTAGATGCTTGCTTTTTATCTTATCTTCCTTCACTTGATATTTGTGTGGGAATAGCAGAGGCTGGAGAAATATTTGGAATCAATTTAAAAAATAAATCATCTATATGTGAAAGAATAATTCATTTTCATTATGATACAATAAGTGTATAATATATGTTTAGATGTTTTTAGGTTATGAAATATATGAGGAAAGATCTTTGTATTATGGGAACAAAATTTGGAGAAATTATGATTATAGCATTTGATACTTAACCTCCTTGTGTTATAAAAAAATACAAAGAAATTGATAGATAAGTGTTAGATTTAATATATGATGATGAAGTCAAAAATATTATATCAACACATGAAAACTGTGCAATCTATTGTAAATATTTAGCTTATGAATAATCGTAATATTATTAATTTTAAAATAAATAGAGCTAAATTCATATATGAAACTTAACTTACAAATTTAACATTAATTTCATCAGAATATTTTACAGGAATAGGAAAGGATTTATCAGTAATTCCAATATTTTAGATCAAAGATGGTAATTACCATTTAATAAATTAGGTATATTAAATTTAATCTAAATATATCATATTCATAACAAAACTGTTCCCTTAGCTCTAACTCTCTCAGACAATTATCTTGTTTGGGTAAGTTAAAAATTCATAGGATCAGTCTTAGTAAATGGTGATTTGAGCAAATTAAATGAAGAAAAAGGTAAAGAATTAATTGTAAATGCTTCAAAACCAGCTCATTTATTAACAACATTATAGAATGGGAAAATAATTGTTGCTAGCGATGGAATTAAATTACATTTATATTAAATAGGTATAATTTTATAAATTTTATTTAGTTTCTTAAAATTGTGAAATATTTTGATAAAGTCTTAACTATATTAACAAAAATCTGATTAGATTTAATAATCATAACATAAAGTCAAAATTTCACTCTTATTTAAATTTGTAATTTAAGCTTTCCTTAAGAATTTAAGACATAAATTCATTTGAGTATTCGAATGTCTTTTAAATCAGTTAAATCTCTTTTGTAATTGTTGTATTAAAACATAATGTATCATCAGTACATATAGCTATAGGAATTCCTTTACTTATAAAATCTTTGACTGGATGACAATTAGGTTACATATTGGTTGTAAATAGATTGGATGAGAAGCATACTTCTATAGGGATATTCAGATTCTTTATATTATTAAGTTATTCTTCTGTATAATAAATGAAATGTCCTATTCTATCTGGTTTAAAATCAATAACATCATTATTTTCTTCTATCTATTGTTTTAATTCTCCAGTATGAACAGTTATTTTATATCCTAAATCCCTAAATTTTTGTAAAATTGGTTTGAACTATAAAAAATGACCTACTCCAGGATGACCACACAAATCTACTCCAACTAAATGTTGTATTTTATTTTTTTTAATTAATTTATATGTTTTTTCTGCTTCTTCTATACTTTTCGCTCTATCAATTGCAACAATTAATTTTATATTGAATTTTGCTTTATTTATTGAATCTGATATTGCATTTAAATATTGCAATTAATCAAAATCTTAACCTTTCTTAGGTGTTGCTCTGATTTCTAAATAAGTGACACCATCATTATAAAAATCTTAAAATATTTCATCTGCTATTCTTCGGATATCATCTAACTTTAAATTCAATGAATTTATTTTGGCAAACAAAATAAAACATTATTCTAAAGTGGTACATTTTTTAAAATTTATTTCATGATCCTATCCAAATTATCTTATTGTAAGCTCTTAAAGAGTTGTAAAACGGATGCAGCCACTAAAATGTGCATGCAATTCAATTTTGTCCATATTTATAAATAAATTATTTTTTCATTAGAAAAACGTGATCGAAATTATGAATTTATAATATAAAAACTTAATAATTAATTTTTAAAAAAAAGAGATTCAAAAGTTTATGAAAATAAGATCTATAATTATCTATAAAAATAAATAATCTTTATAATCAATAAGTATAATATTGTTTAAATAGCTGAAAGAGGAATTTATAAGTTCTTAATTACTATTGTTATTTATTAATAAACTAAAAGTTTATTAATTATTTATTAAAATAAATTAAAGACTTTGAAAAAAGTATCTCATTTAACATTATTTCTAAATACTTAACTATTTAATTATTTGTGTTTATTGTAATCTTAATATTTAAAAACATAACATTTCAGCATCATGTAAAGTAACTGGTAGAATGTATTTAATTGGATTCCTGTTTCTGGAATTTTGATAAATTAAGAGAATGAAAATATTTAGATTGATCTTTAAACTTAACAAAAAGCTGTTTTATCAGAATTAAAATTGGAAATCTTTCCTGATGTTATATTTAAGAAATAACTAAATTATGATCTTGAATCAGGTTGGAGTTGGCATAAATCATGGAATTTGCCTGAAATCGATTATATTCTAAATGTAATCATACAACCTAATGTTTAATAGGTCCCAATCTCAAGTTAATAAAACTAAGGAATTTTTTTTGTTTAAATTTTTGTAGTCAAAGCTTTATAAGAGTCTTAATAATATAAAAATTTAGGCATTAAAGGAGAATCAAAAAAATAAATAATAAATCAGCAAACTAATTTCAGATGTCTAAAATTTACCACAACTTCATATAAAAATGATGTATTAGTTTTTATAATGACGTTAGCATCAAAAATTCCATTTAATGTTTGTTTTATTTTATTCCCCAGTAAATAAAGAAAACGTGGTTATAAGCTCAATTATATCTCCATAAATTTTTGTGGATTCTAGAAAATTTGCTCGATTTCATACTTTATCAGTTCCCTTGCATTCTTTTACAGAATTATTCCCTTATGACTTACTTGATGCCATAATCATAAAAAGAGAAACAAAAAATAAGACTTTCAAAATGATTAAAGTTGATAATTCAATTACAGGATTTATTAATTATTTTACTGCTTCAAATATTAGGAATAAAATTAAACACCCTATATTTTTAGCATTAAGATTCTCTAGTCTAATTAAAATATTTGTTGATTAATAATTATTTTATTAATAAACAAATATTGTGGGTTTGATTTAAAATCATTTAAACAATATAATCAATAAAGAAGAAAAACAAAAGAAGATCAAGCTATTAATTAAACCTCATAATCAAGATAATATCATATAAAAAAGGGTATAATTCATCATAATTATAGGCCATTGAATTAATTTAATAATTAGAAAATAGTTGCTATGAAATTTATACGCAATAATGCTATTTACCTGATAATGTTAAGCCAATAGAGGATCTCTAATATCTTTCTTAATAATACTCAGAATTTTTCAAATAATCTTAAGCAAACATTTCTAAAACCAAAAATTTTACCATCTTGAAAACATAATCTTGCTCATATATTGAGGATCATATCGCTACTAAAGTAAAGATTGAGTAATTTTAAAAAACAATTAATTAACCTTAGTAAACATTTAGAAATCAATGTGACATTTTTAATTAAATTAAAAAAGAAGAAGTTAAAATAAGTAAGGAATAATTTAAGTAGATAGAAAATTAATAAGATGTACATAATATGAATATTAACTAATCCTAATTATATTCATAATTATATCTAAACTAATATTAAAATTCAATTCAATATTAATAATTTTAAAATTAATATTATAATCCATATTAATTTGCAAACCCATGCTAAACTTTGTGGAGAAACATTTGAAAAATATAAACTAAATACACAATAATTATTTTATTTATAGTATTTTGAGGGAAATTGTAAATGAAAAAAAAAAATAAGAGCAATTGAATCAATAAATTTCCGTATTTTTAAAGCACGAATGTGTATGTTTTACTCTTTTTCTTGACTCCTTTTTGACTGGCATTTCACAATTTTTACATTCATCACATTTACATAATTCTGAACATTTTACTCCCATTTGATAGCATTCACAATATTTTTTTAAACAATTAGACTTTTTACAATTACAACCCTTAAAATGCCTAGGTTTATGATCAATTTCCTCTTCAGAATTACTCTATTAATTAGAAATTTATAATACTCTAGATTCTACTTTAGGTCGAAATGCTTATGGATTTCTTTCCATTATTTATTTGATTATATTTTCTCTTTCTTTAGTATGGTCATCATTATTATGACAAGTACAACAATTACAATCTTTTCCACATGGAACTCCAGCAGCAAAGCAATCACAATATAATTTTAGACATTTTGATTTTTTGCAATTACAAACAATAATTTTAGGTTTCTATTCTGTTTATGGTTTTCTTCTTTTAGAACTAGTCCTCTTTCTATTATTTGCCTAGTCACTTGTAAATTTGAGAGGCTTCTTAAGAGTAACAAAATTTATGAATTTCAATTTCGTGGCTCTTTCCAGTTTTCTATGAGGGGATTTAGGAGGACTTCTAAATTATGAATGAATATCCTAATCTTCAGATAAAATTTCCTCTTCATCGCATAATAAATCATCTGGAACTTTAAGAGAACTAAGTGGTGAACTAATATTGACGAGTCGTTGTTCTGTCTTTGTGTGATCAAAATTAATTTATCTTGCTGGTGATATTACAAATATATTAGCCTTTTTAGTTGTTTAATGATTTAATGGTGAATATGGTTAAAATCTAGAATTAATTTAGAAAATAGGGTACTAATTTGGAGACTTTAAGCATGGTGTAAACTCTAATTTCTTGCATACTTATTCAGGTGACTAGTCTTTTATATATATTTCATCTTAATGGTGAACACAATCGGCATTAAAAACTGGGGATTTATGAATTTTTTCTAATCTTTAAAACAATTTTGTAAATGGAGTTCCATCCTAAATAAATTCTGAGCTCATTTGTTATATGAATTTTCCCTCTGAATTTAAATTCAAATTTTTATATATAAAATACCAAACAATTATTACCCGCATTTAGAGTAAAGAATCTAATAAAAAAGCCCCGCCAATTAGTTATAGCTTCGCTCCAATTCGTTGTAATTATTATTTAAGTTTTATATTGAGTAATATCATGAATGTTTAAATTAGTTAATAGATAATATCGTAATCATTTCCCGCATTATTTTTGTTATTAGTTGCATTATTAATATGTTATAATTTGTTCCTAATTAAATTTATCAAAAACATAAATAAAATTTAATAATTTATTTTTTCTTTGTATTTTATGTATTGAACAAGTAATTAGAATTTGATATATCTATAATAAATAAATAGTAATTGTAAAGAATTATTAGTTAAATTCATTCTAAGCAGAGAAAGATTAAAGATCAATATGATTTGAATCGAAAATGAAATTTTAATAATATAAAGGGTATGGTTTGGTTAGTTATGAAATAAATTTATTTAAAAAATTTAAATAACGGAAGATATGGGTCATCTATTTAGACATTAAGAAGGAAGTGCTGGTAAAATTAATAATTTTAATATGCATAAGCTCCTGTTGTAGCTGTAATTCCAACTCCTTAAGCATCAACAACAGATTATGATTGGGTACTAATTTCAGGGTTCATAATCGTTTTAACATAAGTGGGATTTGCATTTATTGAAGCAGGATCAGTGAGATATAAGAATTCTTAATCAATAGTGATAAAAGTACTATTGGGTTTATTCTTGACAATTTTAATATGGTGGTTGGTAAGAATAAAAGTTAAATAAATATAGTTTGGATATGGATTTTCATTTGGTTATGATTTCTAAACTAATTTTATGGGAGGTACAAAATTAGGAGGAGCAAATTGGGAAGCAAATCAATATGGAAATGATTATACTAACTTTGGTATATCTGTTAATATTCAAATTTGTATAGTATTTAGAGCAGCAGGTGCAGCAATAGGCGTATCAGTATTATCTGGAGCAGCAGCAGAAAGAATGACATTCTTAGCATGGTCTATTTTAACAATTGTATATGCAGGATTCATATATGCAGGATTAGCACATTGGACATTAGCAAAAGGATGGTATAAATTAAATATATTATAAAAAGGTTAACAACTTTAGGATATAAAGATTTCTCAGGAGCTGGTGTAGTATTTTTTGCTGCAGGAGTTGCTGGATTAGTCGTTACTGTTCTTTTAAAACCAAGAAGATTTAGATTTGATCCAAATACAACATTATAATTCTAAAGACATTCACCAATTTATATTGGATTTGGATCTATTTTAGTATTTGCTGGATGGTTATTCTATAATGGAGGTATTGTTGCTCAAGGAGCTAATGCTAAATACACTTAAGGATTAGTTGCTGTCAATACTTTGATTGCTGGTGCAACTGGTGGATTCTTTGCTTTTATTATTAGATATTTCTAATATGAAGTTACAAGTTTAGTTGCTTTATCTAGAGGAATTGTTAGTGGTTTAGTAGCTGTTAGTGCTGCTACTGATGATATGAAACCATGGACTGCATTCATTTATGGTCTTTTAGCTGCTGTCTTTTATAGTGTATTAGCTAAAATCAT